CAACAGGTAAAGCTGTCAGCTGTGTGGATATTGGCAATATCGTTAACAATTCTCGTTTATAATCATTACTAATATGGCTTCTTGTTATCAAGATCTTAGTCTATATGCTGTGTTCTGTTAATGCGTGAACTTCATATTAGCCTGTTTGCAGCGCACTTGCCGTCCAGTAATCGCAATAAGCTTTGTGCTTTGTTACTTTTTAATAAACAAAGTATCAGCTTTAACATTCTGCCAAATTCATAACGAAATTCATACAATAAATAAATACGGTTTTGCCTCTCTTTAATCGCTTTAGCGCCTCAGTTCAAGCAGCAAGTGAACCTATTATATCTTTCTCTACTATAGTACGAAAGGAACGTGAATTAACATCAAAAGTTAGGCTATTTTATAAGAGAGCCTACAGTACAACTTATTGAAATGTCTCATGTAATTGCTCATTCTGTGTCAAACTGCAGAAAACGTGTAAAGCTTGTAAACAATGCCATGTAACAATACATTTACCTCAGAATAACCATTGGGCATCCATAAGCTCATCAGTCAGCTGGAAAAATAACTATAAAGATGAGCATTTTTCTGTATTTATTCGCTATTGCATACTAATATTTTTACTTAGCCTGTTGTCTACATAATAAAAAATGCAAGAATGCAAGCTAAAGATAAAATTCAACACGTCCTATAAAATTGCATGTTACTAATGAAGAAAAACCGACTGGATGTGTGAGAGATATGACAACACTTCTATAGGATGCATTGAGGAGGAGCCCAAACTAAAGCCTGGCTCACACTGTAAGATTTTGGCCACGATTTGGTCGTCTGAGACAAATTTTGAAAATCCTAAAAGATTCCTATAATCCTATGCTAAAATCTGTAGTCTTTGATCGCTGGTTTGACATGTTCACCGACAGCCGATTAATGGCCATTGCGATCAAATTTTACCTCCGACTAAATTCTGGCAGTGTCAGAAGATTTGGCGCACAGTCCTGCAGTGTGACTTCCCCCTACGACGAATGTCAAACTGTCTTCGTTTTTCAAGACAAGTCATGATCAGAATTAATGCTAGAGATTTCTTCGAACTGCATAAACTCCTGCGCTCTCGTCCTCCACTCACGGAATTCATATGATACGTTGCCTTTGCTATGATAAACACCAGTTGCGCTGCTGTTTTCATGTGGGTGTGTAGTGCTGCTTGCACTATTCTTCTTAAATACGCCGGTATTGTCGCCATTCATATACTTTTAATGATAGCCAACATTACAGCCCCGCGTGCAATGCAGCTCGCAGTCTCGCTGTACGTGCATGGGTTGATAATGTAGAACTCCGGACATTCTTGCACGCACCCGTTTTTAACGCGTCTTGACTGTTGTACAGTCTGACATTAATGACAACTGAGATCCCACAGTGTGACATGATCATCATGTTCGTACAGTCTGACAAGTACAATCCTAAAGGACTTTTAAAAATTGCACAGTGTGAGCCCGGCTTAACAACGTAAAAAGCGAACAGTTGACTTTTCTTTAAAAAATTGAGGAAACCCGTTGCCTTAATTTAGTAAATAAACTTAATGCATTAAGTGAACTTGACAATTCTGAGTTACACTGACAAATAAGTTTGAAAATGTGTTCACTTTTTATTTTAAGTTGGACTAACTTAAATTTATTAAATTGCAATTACTTAAAAGTGTACACTCAATGGCCAAGTGATGCTTATGGTCCATGATATTGGTACAGATTCTGTGTAATAAACAATTCTTTGTGACTGTATGTTTCAATTTGGAAAAGATGTTTAGTTCCCACTTTAAGTGTACCTTAGTTCCCAGGTCATCTACAAGATGGATTAAAATGCTAAAAGATTAGTCATAAACACATGACAGTATGATTGAAATGTCAAAATGTTAAAAAAATAAATAAAACGCGTTTATTCTGTGGCACCTAAAAAAATAATTTGGTGCCTAAGTTTGTTCTTATAGGAGCCAATGGCTCCTTACTCTGTTTTTTTGTCTGGAGCCCTGTGAATAATGCAAATAAAATAAATCTTTTCATATAAACAGACTAAGACTTTGCCTGTGCTCTTTCCTAGCTTGATTTTTCCCAAGAAATATCAGCATGTCCACATTTTCCAGCAAAAAATTTACTTTGTACAGAAAATTAATTTGACGCAAAAACAGAATGGTCTGACTTTAGTTTTGTGAAATTATGCTACATAAAACTACATAAAAGCAGACGGACTGAATGAGAACCAAATTCACTCTCTGGCCCTGTTTACACTAGTGCGTTTTCATTTTAAAATGGCATTTTAAAATGAAAACAATCCTCGTCTACACTGGCGTTTTCACTGCGTTTCAGAAACGTTCTCCGTCCACACTACACAACCGAAAACGCATGTCACATGACCATTCATGCAGGTACAACAATGAGCATGATGTTATTGTTTACACGGTCTTCAAGGATGCGCAGAGCGAATGTGAGCAGCATGCCATCGTTTTCAAAAGTCTCTGTTTTGGTCCGTTTACACTGAAATGCAACCCCAGAGTTTTCAAACTAAAACGGGGTCTGCAGCGTTTTCGAAAGTCTCCGTTTTCAAGGGTCAAAAATGCCAGAGTAGTGTAAACGACAGGCGTAACTTAGCAAAAGTTATGCATTTTAAAACGAAAACTCACCAGTGTAAACGTAGCCTCTGACAGCAGGTGGCACTTATGGAACAGCAGCGATATAGCGTTTGGTTACCACTTTAAACAAAACAGCGCTGCGCTTATAAACACTATCCCAATTGTATCGTGATTCGTTTAACTTCTCAACTGACTTGAATCGTCACATATTTTCATTGATTTTCCGCAGGCTCAGGGGGTGCATCGTTACCTCCCTATTTTTTTCTCTTCACTCTGGGTCTAACTTATGTTTTCTTGTTCTCCCAGCCTCTCAGACCACACCGCAGCTGCAAGTCCCTCCAAGCGCCGCGGCTGCCAGGAAGCCTGTGGGAGAGGAGGTGGAGTTAAACAGTTCTCAGGGTGACGGACTGGACAAGCACTGCAGCAGTGAGTACATGCAGAACACAACAGCCAACAACAGTGATTGTCAAGGTCTCTGCTCTCTGTGCGGCAGCTTTTAGGCTAGACTATTTCCAGGTGATCGAAAAAGCTGTACTTTGACTCAGCGTGCTGAAACGAGCCTTGCGCGGTCCGACACTTCTGCTAACAGCTCTGCCTGTGAAAGGAGTTTTCACGAGGGACGGTGTGATTGTGCGACGGCTTCACGGCCATTCAACTGCTGCCTGTCTTTCACCTCATTCAGAGGGCGAATAAGGGGTCACTGTGCCCCAGTAGAAGTCTGTAGGTGCTTATAGGCCCCCTGCCACTTAAAACAGTTGCTTTAATAAACTGGTGAAAGTAGGGATGGGTGGTATGTAATATAATATTACTTCACCCCCCCAAAAAAAATTTTCTTTGCATTAGATGATCAATACATTATTGTGAGGGGAAACATTTATTTATTTATACAAAAATAAAAGGCGTATCATAATATATGTAATTTTATTAATTTTTTCCTTGAATATTAATGTGAAAGATTTTACTAAAATTTTTTGACATTAGCAATATAGTATTGTGAGGGGAAATTGTATTTATTTATTTATTTGTTTATGTAACTTAATGGACGCAAATTTAAATATAAGATTGTTTTAATATATGTAAAATATAATTTTATAATTTCAATATTTATATTTTTTTATTATTTTATTTTGAAGCTGAATTTCTTGCAAAAATAACTATAAAATAATATGCAATTACTGTGCTATGTATTTTTTATTTTGCCATGTCATACCACCCACCCCTAGCTTAAAGGTTTGTCTCATTGTTCATTAAACTCCTAGTGAATTAGCTTACAGATATGAGTAATTTTTGTGAGTGCAATGTGAAAACTCATTAGTCTTCCAGAAAAAAAAATGCATACCTGATTGAAAACAAAATTCTCTCCAGTTGTTCTCGTGCTTCAATGTCAAATATATTAGATACTTTATTGCCTTAATGCAGCTTGTTTGTTATCACTGTGGCTTTTATAAGTTTTTTGTTAACAGCTTGGCATCTGTCTGGAACTCTGTTTTGGACACACAGCACAAAAGCTTGTTGTTTAATGAGATTTGCTGCTGTCCAACCAGTGTTTCTTTAGCTATTACTTTCTCAAGTGATTGGACTTAGAATTAGTCAGACTTGGAACAAAATGCTTTAAATTTGAATTTGATCAGTAAGCATACCCCCATAACACCATACAGGGTTCCTGTGGTCCTGAAAAACCTTCCAAAGTGTGACTTCCAGGGCTGGAAAAGTCATAGAAGATCATTGAAAATGCAACCAAATTTCTGTTGCATATGCATTTTATTACTTGCGTTCTGTGAGAAACAATTTCTTAGATTAGAAATTACTCTTTGTGAGTGCGGTCTCTATAGAACTTCTGGAAGGTTGTGGAAAATCATAGAAATTAATGATCCTTTTTATGGTTTAATTTTTTTTTAATCATAGTTTTGTGCTTAGTGAAAATAGGCTAATAATACATCTCATAGTCCCTCTGCTATTGATATGCACAAGAGTCAATCAGCCAGGATTGACTCACAGCATCAGAGCAATGCCCTCTGGTTGCACTCCCTCACCGCCTCCCCTCTAACTGCAGCACCAGCCAGGTCAGTCCTCTCCTGTGGCCGCCCCGGCAGATGGAGAGGGATGCTGGGAAGGCTCGGGGGCCACGAGGGTTAGGAAGTACTATCGGCACCTACTCTGCGGCGAAACACGCTGGCAGATCCGTGCAGCAGCTGGGAACGTGTTTTATCACATTCATCTCACATCTCCGCTTCAGAAAGGCTTTTAGCCGGGCCTCAAAAGAGGTTGTTGTGGAGGAGTGGCTTGTTTCAACCTATCATGCGGCCATGTTGCCAGATTGAGCTGTAATGCTGTGATTTGCTGAGAGCCGGCATTACCACCCCTGGTGCGATAAGCAAGTTCATTCTTGCTGCTTTGCCAGTGTGGACTCATTAGATTGCGGATAAGTCATCGGATGGCAGTTGTGGGATGCTTCCACATGTACTTTGAGATTAATTAGCAGCTATCTCAAATACAGTGGATCTGATGGGTATTTTGACTAGTGTAAGCCTGCTACAGAAAGGACCAGTCATGGGTTGTTTATTTTTAGATTGTATTGTGTTTTGGGTGTTTAATCTTTTATTCAGGAATCAACTGGGATTTGATGTTATGATATCATTAGATGTCTGGATCATGAAGTGAATCATAATATTGTGTTTTTGCTTAGCGTGTAGTGTCAAATCTGTGATTTATATTGTATCTGTACAGTTATATTCTTAGCTTGTTTTGAGTTTGGATTCAGTTTTTGAAAGAAAATAATACTTAATTAAACAAGGATGTATTAAATTGATCAAAAATGTCAGTAAAGACATTTATAATGTTAGAACCGATGTTTGAATTTCAGGTTTTGAATTTTGAAATTTAGATTTTTTTTCTCAAACAAATGCTGTTCTTTTGAAGAGTTGTAAAAAGAAAATATATATAACATTTTCCACAAAATATTATGCTGCACAACTGTTTTCAACATTGATAAAATAATAAGAATTGTTTCTTGAGCAGCAAATCAGCATATTAGAATGATTTCTGAAGGATCATGTGACACTGAAGACTGGAGTAATGATGCTGAAAATTCAGCTATGATCACAGGAATAACTTACATTTTAAAATATATTTAAATAGAAAACAGTTCTATTTAAATCGTAAAAATATTTCACTATTACTTGTTTTTTTACTTCTTTCAAAAACAACTTACCAACCCCAAACTTCTGATCAATTTGTAAATATAAATATATATTTTTGTGTGTGTGTGTGTGTCTGTGTGTGTGTGTGTGAAATCCTGTTCTGGGAAAGTCATGTAAAATATGTATTGCTATACAATCTTTTTTTTTTTTTCTAGTTATACTCAAAGTAAAAAAAAAAATTATTTAACATACAAAAAAAACAAAAAAACATTTAACACTCTTCTACAGTGTTGTAGCACCAAACTTTCCTCTAATTCTCTAATTTGTGTCCTGCACTTCCTCATCCTGCCACAAGATGCCGTAAGTCTCTCCCATTATCTGACAGACTCTGTCTAGAACTGTACAGTATAACAGCTCAAGGGAAAAGAAACAAAGAATGATTACATCCTTGAGAGATGAGAAGGTGGCTGTTAGGTGCCATAAACACCTCAGGATGAGATGGGCACGCTCCTGTCTGCCTGTGTTATATTTCCTGCTTGTGAACAGGAGGTGAGTGAGCACAAAACTCAATCTTTCAGCTCCTAAGAGCTTGTTAAGCATTTCATCTACCTTCCATCTGTTTTGCCCAACAACAAACACTAATTTAAAGAAAAGCTTCCTTAAATTAGCCTTATCCCCCAAGTGATTAGTTTTATCTTTGATGCTGTCAAAAAAGCCATTAGTAGTGTTTTTCTCCTCCTTTCATCGGGCTTAATGCTGTTTACTGATTCTGGGCTCAGTTGACAATTTAATCTAAAAAGAAATTGATCCAAGGAGCATCATCAATTTTTTATTTTTTTTTTGTGCTGCAAGTTATTCTTAAATTCAGACTCTTCAAGCTAATGCTTGGCAATTGATCAATTTTGTCCCTTTGTCCCCGAATCAGACTTTTTTTTTTGTGACTTTGACTTTTTTTTTGTGAATTTTCAGTGACGATTTTGATTAAATTCTCATTTAATTCCCCAAAATACTGTAATACAATTTGTTTGTTTTCTTTTATTAAAATCAAACAAATATTACCATTAATACTTTACCATGAATTAATAATTTACAATTTAATTATAGATATTATTGCATTGTAATTTAGAATTTTTGGGGTAAATATTCTTGAAAAATCCTGAAAATGACAATTTTCTATTTTTTCACGTCATCTTAAAGTCATTAAACTTTGAATGAGTAACCGACCAAAATAAGTATTTTTGTCTCTAATAATCCTCATCTCCACATAGTGCTATGGACTCTATGATTTGTGAGCAATTCATTCAGTCTGGTTTTGTGAACTTGTGAAGATACATTTTGATAGATAGATAGATAGACAGACAGACAGACAGATTTTTTCCTCCTCCAGAATTTGGTGTGAAATATGGCCTGGAAATGTTCTTGACAGACTTTGTGAGATAACACCTTGTGGTAATACTGTGTTCTGGTGTGAAACTATTTATCATATGATGTTTAAAATAATTCAGTTTGTAGACATAAATGCTAGTACCTAAAGCAAATTGACAGGAGAGATGACAAATGAACCATCAGATTCAGAAGCCTCAGCAGTCTTGTACCAACAATGAAGATCACAAACAAGAACAAAGAGGGACGTGTTTCCGCTGTGGTCCGCTATTGCCCCGATGATGAGTCAGCCACCCAGCACCATCTCATGGAGATGGCAAAACTAAGCAGTTCTATTATCAAGGTCTTTTATGGGATGGCAGAAGGGATATTTAATCCCCGAGGCCGTCCAGAGCTGCTCGCTTTCCTGCTTATCCTCACTGTTATCTGATGCTGAAGGTTGTGAACTGTTGCCTGTGCTCTAAATCGGTGGCTTTCAACTGGTTTTGGTTCAGGACCCAGAGTTTACTTTGAACCTCAAGAGGCGACCCAAAACCATACCAAAATTGTTTACTGTATGAGTAAAATTTAAAATGATTTATTACCATAAACCCAACAATATGTATATATATATATATACAGATATATTATTTATATCTTTTTAATCTACTATTGTAGTTTATATATATATATATGTATATATATATATATATATATACATATACACACATTTACTTTTTTTTTTCTTTTTTAGAAATAGCCAGTAATTCGCCATACAAAACACATTGTGGTTGACACACCATGTTTAATGTATTCTGAGTCCTTGAACATTTTGAATAGTAATGGTTTTTAAGGGTAAGAAGGCTGTCACATAACCTATCCATATTTACATTTGGCTAATTTGGCTGTAGCTTCTGCCGAGTG